ACAACGGTATGTGCACCCTGCCCGAAGCCAGAGCCCCGTCAGCCACAGGAGGGGTACTCCTGCGTTACCGACTCACACCACGAGGAGGTGGGGTTGGCACATGGGCCGGCCCCTGCTACCTCTAGGATTAGGGCCCCGGTTAGGGCCTTCCTTTGTTTAAGGGGGCCGATCCCCAATTCGTCCAGGTTGACCTTGGACCGAATGTCCCTCATTCCCTGCGCGAATTCTCCCGCTGGGAACATAATGGACACCGCCTCGCTTCTCGGAGTCCTTCGCTTCCGTTGCTCGGAACGCCTCCCTTTGTCCGCCGCTGGTTGGGTCGCAGCTTCCTTCTTCTTGGGAGTGTTCTTCTCCTCGTTGCCCCCCTCTTGGTTTTTGAGGTGCACTTTTCACCTCCGCGGATTGCGTCCTCTTCGCCGGTTTCTTTGCGGCTTCCGCATAGGTGCCTTTCCGCGGCAAGGGAGTCGCTTGTTTCTCCCTCGATTGCTCCCTCTTCTGCAGCGGTTCCCTCGTTGGGCTCTTCGTCTGCGTTTGCCTCGGTCTCCTTTGCGGTTTCGGCATCTCCTCTTTGTTGTCGGGCTTAGTTGAGGGAATCGCGTTTTCCCTGCGTCTCTGCCCTCCCTTTGCCTCTTCCGCCCTGTTCCCCGACTTCCCTCTCTTCTTCCTATCGTTCCGGGTTTGTCGGGAGACTTCGTGGTCGTCGGCCTTCCCTTCCTCTGGGTGGGACTTCCCCTCCTCTTCCTTGTCCTTGCTCTTCCGTTGGACTGGGAGTCTGGACATTGCTCCTTGACACCTGAGGATTACATCCTCAAGTTTTTCACGCATGGAGGCTGCATCCTTCTCGTTTGTAATCGCAGAGATGGAGATTCCCTCCATCACCTGCCTTATGCCCTCCATCGCTTCCTCCCGATTTTCCTCCATCTCCTTCTTTCGCCCTTGGATTTCAGGGCGGAGGACCTTTATCGCCCCTTTAAAGGGTTCTATCCTCTCGATCACTACCACCGGTCTTTTGGTGACAGTGCTTATAGGGGCCGGTGGGGGAAGAGGAAGAGTTTCCTCTCCCACATCCAGCTCCATCTCCTCTTCCTTTTGTCCGGGCCTGGACTTGTCTTCGTCGTGTTCCCCCTCAGCCATTTCGCGTTCCGCCTTGGCCAGCTGGCTCTCGAGGTCTCTAATTCTCCCTCTGAGTCCGCCGTTCTCTTCTCCCCTGGATTTTTCGGGGATTGTGGCTTCCTGCCTAGAGGCCGCGGCCTTTTGTGTGAAGGCCATTACTGCTGCCCTAAGGGCGTTTGTTGAGTTCACAAGTTCTCTAACAAACGTACCCTTTAGGTTCTTAGATCGCCTCGCGACCTTTTCCACCACGTTTATACTGTCAAACATGTTTGACGCAATCCTCTCCGGGGGCATGCCTAAGAACTGTTCTCTCAGTTCTCTTTCGGGCGTTGTATCCCGCATGTATGGTCACGGAAGAACTCTGGGATCCATGATCTCCTTAAGAGCTCTCTTCTCCTCTTTAAGTTTTCTTATCTCCCTCTTGTGCTCCCGTTTTTTCTGGGCCATTAGGTGTTCGCCCGTTGTGGAAGGTCTTCCACGCTTCCTTATTTTTACCGGCACGAAGCTTCCATCGCTGTCAGAGTCCGTCTCGTCTTCCGAGCCCGACGCGACGCTGACGCACAGTTCCGTGTCCGAACCGTCCATCTCCTCTTTCTCCACTGTCTTCTTCGACGAGGACGGTCCTGGTTCCTGAGAATCCAGATCCGGTTTCCCCCTCGTCCTTTTCCGCAAGGCCCGCTGGCCCTTTCCTTTCGCAGGAGCAGTCGTATTTTCGCCTGCTCCCGTAGCAGCCTTCCGCAGGGGATCTTCGTCCCTCTGCCTCGAGCCACTCGCCCTCACGTTTCCTCCATTCGTCTTTTGGTGTGTTTGTTTGGGGGAATCCATATTGCATGTAATTAAGTTCTTCCCGTTCGCCCATTATGGGACCCCCACCTCAGTGGGGGATCTATCCCGGGGTTAGAAGTGCCCTAGTTATTGGCTGGGAAGCGGAGATGCCGTTTGTTAGGGAGCCACCCCTATCCCAACCAGTGAATCTATAAAAAACGTCCCTGGAGACGGCCAGGCCCACTAAGATGTAATAGTTTTATACTCACCCCGGGGTCCAGGCGCGTGCCGATCCGATTGGTCGCTCACCACGGCCCCAGGCTAGAGTTCGCGAGGGAACTTTCCCCCCTCACAAAGGTATAAGAGGACGTTGGCTAGACGGCCCCTCCATACCCGCGCCCTGCATGCCGGTTTCAACTCCCTGATAGGCTCTAGCCAGACGAGACGGGAGCGGTTTTCCCACATTGAACATGCCACTTCCTGCGGACTTTGCCAGTAAACTGGGCTTACGGTCCCGCGTAGTCTATGGCAGAGGTCAGGTACAGACGTCACCGCTCGTCCCCGGTCGGGGGGTTTACTACTCCCCCCTTGGTTAGTCTCAGGGAAATATCCACCGGCAGCCGACCGCGGCCCATTCACACACCACATATCCCCCGCTCGTCGCCACTCCCCCGCCCCCCTTATGCCAGGCCGCACGCCCCAGCAGCGGGACGTCGGCCCCAGACACAGGGGTTGACGGGTTCACGACGCCAAGCGGGTGTTGGGCGACTGACTTGCCGCCCAACGCTCCAGACCCCGAGGCCCCGCCTGGGAATAATTCCCAGCGGCCCCCGGGGTCTTCCGGGCGATCAGGCCCCGCCTCGGAAACGTCCGAGCGGCCCCGATCCCCGTCTGTCTTCCGGTCCACCCGGCGGCCTGGGTCACACCCAGAGTGCCACCGGGGCCCGGCCCCTCCCCCCGGAAGACGGACCACGTCCGAATCAACCGCGGGGAGGCCACGACTTCCGGCCCACCCTTCGGCCAGGACCACGTCCTGTTGCCTCCGGGGTCCGGCTCTCCCCCGCCCGTGAGCACGCCCACGACGAGCCCGCTAACGGAGGAGCTACCCTTGCCACCGCCTCCTGCCGAAACACCGGCGTGCAATGGAGACGGTGGCCTCCCCCCGAATCCCAGCCGCTTGCCGGAACACCGGCGTGCAATGGCAACTGGGATTCCTGCCTCCTCGCCCGGGTTCCCCCCGATCCCTGCCGAAACACCGGCGTGCAATGGGATCGAGGGGGAGACGACCCGGTCCGGTGGATGGAGCATGCTCCCCCCTATCGGCCCCGGCGGCCGAGGTTTGAACTCGGGGTACCTCATGCCCTACCGGCGAGTGGTCTCAGTTCTGCCTCGACTCGCGTCGAGGCAGCCGAGACCGGAGTCGTCGGGCTCCTTGTTTCCCCTTTTCAGGGGAAAGGCAAGCTCTTAGTCGGCGAGCGCCCGTCACCGAAACCGCCGATGCCTAAAACGGCACTCAGCGGCTTCCAGACGGACGCCCGCCTACAAGCCCCCTCACCACGTCAAGGTGGCTTGCCACGAGGGGGAAAGGTTAGGATTTCCACTATTGCAACGATGTGCAAGGCTGAGATGCCGAATGGATAATACAAATATTATTTATCACCTATACCTAACGACCTATCAAGAATAAAAACTTTACTCGTTTACTAAACCTGCAATACGCACTTCTTTCCACACAGCTGGTTTGACAAATCTCCCAACATCTCATAAGATCAATGTGTTGAACGTGCATAAAGTGCTTACACTTTTTCCTCATTCAGGGTAGCTTCACATGAAGCGTAACTTGCGTAGCCTAATCTGCGTATCGCCAATCACAAGACTATTTCAAGGGAATTATTAAAACAGTTCTATCAGAATGACCCTGTGATTAGTGATACGCAGGTTACGCTACGCAAGTTACGCTCCATGTGTAGCCACCCTCATTTACTTCAGATTCTTCAAATACACTGTTTCATGCAAACTGTCATTGCATACTTGAAAGATTCAAAGTACTCTAGTGAGAAAGTAAAACATATGATAGAAACTGTCGGTGATTATTTTGTCATTATTTCTATATATTATAGGTATTTCATATTCGGAAATGTCTCAGTAAGACATTAATGCAGTTACGTGTTATTTCTAGCAATATTCCAATAAAGAATAAAGATTATTTATTTTTGTCGAGATGCGAGACTTCCATTTCGTTGTTGCTATTAGCTTTATTTGTAATTAGAGCTGAAAACTCTTTGAAGGCTATTGGTCAAAGCACAAAGCAACGCAAAGGTTAACGACAAAGACGCAAGCGTAAACGTAGTTAGCGCACAAGCTTTAGCGTAAGGCTGATGGCAGACAACTATCCGTAAGCGCTTAAGACTGACGTAGTCGTAGACTTAAGGTAAGGCAGAGAAAAACGTAAGGCGTGGAACACGTGTTCCTTACGGCTTATGTTTTTCTCTGCCTTACCTTAAGTCTACGGCTACGTCAGTCTTAAGCGCTTACGGATAGTAGTCTGCCATCAGCCTAAATGTAACGTCATATGTAATTGGAGATAGGTACGACATACGCCAAAGCTTTTGCGCTAATCTACGTTTATGTTTACGACTTTGTCGTAAGTTATTCCGTTGCTTTGTGCTTTGACCCTATGACAGAATATGACCCAGTGAGAAATGATTCGTCGATCAACGTCGAAACGACGTCAAATCGACATCATTTCGACATCGATCGACGAATCATTTCTCACTCTTTGCTTTGCACATCGTTGTTATAGTGGATTTCCTTTTATAAAAGCGTGTGTTGCACATGCATAATGAATGGTTATCATTTTTTT